TTATTCTTCGTGAAATTGATATTAATGTAATTGGAATAGCTAATGTACGTCTTCAATTACTTTATACAACAATATTATTTCTATCTCGTGAAGCATTTCGTCGTACAGTACCAAAATTAAATGATTTATATTCCATTCATCATTATATTAATTTAATATGGTTCATTATTCCAGCTGGTTTATTCATAATATCATTAATACCACCATTTACATTATTTATTCAAACAGACAATGCAGAAAAATATCCTTTTTATTATCATGCATGTTTATTCTATGCTCTAGCTGCATTTATTGAACTTTTATCTGAACCATTTTATTTATTAGCTACTGTTACACTTAATTATCATATTAATATTTATATTGAAATGTTCGCTTCAACTCTAGGTAATGCACTTTTTCCTTATTTATCAAAATCATTGACGATTTGACTTTACGAGAAAAAAAAAATTTGCCTATTATCAGATTGACAGTGTTTAAGATGTTTCAGCCTTCCGTATTCGTAAGAAAACGATGCGAAAAGCGATCTAATCTTCCTACAAAACACCGGCAGAATTTTAGTAATTAATTGTTGTAATCGCGCGTAAACCGCCTCCTGAGAATTGATTTCCTACTTAGAACGGATCGTTTGGGGTGAAATTTTCAGGAATGATTGGTCCCAGTGAGAAATGCTTGTGGTAAAAATTTCAGCCCGATATGCCTGATTAGACCAAGCTTCCAGCTTGTTTTCCTACCTCCAGGGGAATCGAAATAACTATTGCTAGAAGGATGCAGAGATTAGACTGGATTCATATTAAAGCTAGTCTCTGTAAGCAACTTTTCATCGGACGGAATTTTGAAATTTCCTTCCATTCATTTTTTATGAGCGTTTCAATGGATATGGTGTTCAAAATAAGCATAAAAAGGGAACTCGATCGACAATAAATCCCACTTTTCTTAGTCCAAGAGTCGAGTATCAAAAATCCGTCCGATGAAAAGTTAGCTCTGATTAAGACCTTTAAAGCAAAAAACCATCGGTTATACCCCGAGCTGGGTACGAGTTATTTTAATTTTCCTGCCTAGAAATTGTGTTTTGAGAAAAATGCTAAAGAACATTTAGAAATGAATTTTTTCATTCAAATTCAGAACAAATCATATTACAATGGGATATTTTTCATATATTCCAGTGGACCGTTTTAAAGTACGTAATAGATGAAGGTAGCTAATGTCATCTGACATGTTGATTAATGTAAAAATGTTCTATTCAATGCTAATGCAAGTGGCAACGTAGTTTTTCCAAAATTGAAAAACTTTAAAAATCACGAAAATTTCTTCAAAAATATGCTAGTAGAGTCAAATTTTCATGTGATAAGTCTTTGAAAATCTAGTCATTTTCCAAAAAGCCATATATGTACTGAAAGAGAAAGTTTCGCTGCATCTTCCTATGATAAAAACTCAACTTTGATATTTTTTTTGAAAATTTCGATTTTCTAAGGGGAAGGAGACCCCATAAAAACGATCAACCATACAGATATGATTTAGAAAGTTATGTTTTATATCCGGACTCGAACTTTACCCTCATGGCTGTGTCTGAAACTCCTGCTCTTGATTGAGTTAAAGGCAGATTATAGCAATGTATCGCAAACTATTGAAAGCATATGACAGGATTAATAGGAATGTGAAACTAAAATTGAAATAATAACAGCCATTTATGTGATTATCCTGTTCGGATTCAAAGAATTTATTTCTGTCACTGTTTCTATAATTGATCATCCTTAATAGCTAATCGAGTTTGCTCTCTAGTAGAATTAATTTCACATAGATTACTCATATAGAGTCAGTTTCAGGCATAGAACTCGAGAGAATTTGATGGAGGAATTCAATGATTGTTTTCATTATCAGGTTTCGAATTCGGTTGTTGGATGTCTTCGTCCAAGTTACTGGTATTTTTTTGGCAGGCTCTTGCTAAATATCCACAGGATTGTACGATGAATTTATTGATTTGAATAATGGTTTTATAATGTCTAAATATTGATACTGGTATTAGTTCTGCCTATTGTAAGAGAGGATAGCTTGTTGTATTATTATTTGATAAAGCATATGATATTAAAGCAATTCAAGACTAAAATCTGCAACATATTGTCTTCTAATTGAACTATGTGTTTACTGTTAATAGTATAGATTTTATTTTCATTGAGATTTTTTGAATACTCATTTGAAAAGTTGTAATGTGTATAGGAAACAGAAATAAATATATAAATCTTTGGTGAGATTCTATATGGACGTTTAGTTGCTAATAAAATTTTCTTGCTATCGAAAATCGAAAAGAAAACTTATCTAATTCATGAATTAGATATGATCGAGAAATAGGCTGTTTAATTCTTTATAAATATAGGTTCGTCTTTGAAACGTCTCAGTGTGCAGATCTGAACGTTAATCTTTTTTCTTTTTTTTTAGGATTTACAATTCAAGCAATACTAATATATAATAATGGTGAATCTGCACTTTATTATTATGGTTTTGGTTATATAATATATTCATCATTAATAATATTAAGTTATTATATTTATTTTCTAAGTCGTAAAAAAGAAGAACGTATTCGATTATTTCTAATATCATCATTAAAAGATTTAATTATAAAACCAACACATCCATATACTGATCCGAAATTATCGAATGAAACTGCAACATTTTTTTGGCAAGGGATTTTGATGAAATTTTTAACTGAAGGCGAAAGATATATTATGTCTTTATTTAATCTTTTTTCATATAAAGAACAAGCTATATTTGATATAATTAATAATTTAGGTTCACTTTTACCACGTTTAATTTTTTCAACATTAGAAGAAAGTGCTTATGCTTATTTTCAACAAACATTATCAAGACCTAAAATAACTAAAGACCAACATATGCAAGATGATCAATTTCAAAAGAAACAATTATCATCATCACCATCAGGTAGATCTTAATCGGAATTTTTCCTTGAAATAGATAAATTAAATTAAATTTACGAGATTTTTTTATATTTTTACATTGGACATTTAAAATCGATTAAATATTGAATAGATGATAATAAAAACAAGAATATTTGAATAATATCATTAAAATGATTTCCACATAGAGATGAAAATTGAAGGATGAAAACGTGTTTCTGTCATGATCGTATTGACATACTATTTTCAAATGTCATAATCACCATTATAGTAAAATACACTGACGTTAGAAAAAAAGATGGATACGTACTTTATTGTATTTATCTTGAGATGAAAAACATTTTTTAGATCTCGATCGAATCTATTCCATCTTTTTAAATTTGTCTATTTCGTTGAAAACCTAAAAAAATTTCATCGGCTTGTCACAGACACCGATTATTTTAATAGTATAAAACTTTTTACTAGTCCAAAAGATCTATTCTGTTTAAAGTATCGCATTTGTGAACAGGAAAATCTTGTCTAGGTTTTACTATTTAGCTGTGTTCTTTAAACAAGTGTACAAGATAATAAGATGATGAATATCTCGATCTTCCATATCAAATATCCAGCTTTTTGCATGGGTCTGATAATCTTGCTTTGATTCGTTTTTTTCTTATACATAATCATTATAAAAAGAGCTACCCAAAAAAAAAAGATAATAAAAATAGTTTCGATTGATTGAATTAATCAGTCAATGATCGTCTTTGTTTTCGATTTAGTTCTTGTTTTATTGAATGCTATGTTTATTTTCGATCATTTTTTGTCATCATTAATCATTAAAGACGTAACGATAGAAAATGATAATGAATATAGTTACATTGAAAATAAAATGAGAGTGAAAATAATAATAAAATTGAAAATAAACGTAAGAATCTTAATTGATTTGATTTGCGAAAGAAGAATTTTTGAAATAATATTTTTATTCAAAATAATTTTGTTTGTTAACGAAAATAATATTTAAATTTAGAGCAAAAAACAATAAAATTAAATGCATTAATATTTTGTAATTATTTACTTCGTTTTGTAATAATAATATCATTATTAGTAATAACATTTGGTTTTCCATATTCTCGAACCCTTCTTAATATATATGGTGGTACAAATTTAATTGAAGGTTCAGGTCCAGGACTTCTTCGTTTATATTGTATATATATATTATTTCTTGCTGTAAATGGTATAACAGAAGCATTTTCTCAAGCAACAATGTCAATAAAACAATTAAAAAATTATAAAAATTTAATCTCAATATTTGCAATAATTTATCTTGGAATATTTTATATATTAATAAAACAAATTGGTATATATGGAATAATAATAGCTAATTGTTTAAACATGTCATTACGTATAACAACAAATTTATATTATTTTAATCAATATTTTGATTCGACAATTCAATGGTCAAGATCATTTCAATTTTCATATTATTATATATTAACATTAGTTCTTTCATCATTTATTTGTTATTATACTGAAAAATGGTTTATCAATTCTTGGATACATTTTCTTTTTGGAATCGTTTTAGGTTTCCTTATATTAATTTTCACATTGAAAGAAGAAAAAAAAATGATTCATTATGTTTATTGTATTATTAGATTAAATCGTCAAAAGAAAATTTCATAAGAAAATAAAATACAACGAAATTTTTTTGTTTGTTTTTGTTTTTTTCTTTATTTTAAATGTTATATAAAACAAGTGAAAAAAAATCTAATGAATATAATTCAACAATTGATCAAGAAAATGAAAATCAAGGTGAAATAATTGTATCACGTTGTAATAGCCAATCAATCCAACATCTCTTACTAGATAAACGTGAAGTATTACACGTTTAAATAATTTACCACCAACAACATTATGTGCATATGTTAATCATAAAGTAACTTTATGTAAACCAATAACACGTTCAAAAGCAATATCATGTGCACCAATTACATTTAATCGTGCAACACAAACATTATTAGATGATCAAACACCACCAATTAGTTTATTACCAATACCAGTTGGACTTGTTACACCATTACCATTAGCTTTAGATACAACGGATTGTCCTGTACCTGTACCTATACCAATACCAGTTCCATTTCTACTTTTTTTTGTTGTTAATGATCAAAAATTTCAATATTATAAATCATAGAATGACAACGATACCAGTCAAATCGGTTTTTCTCAACATAGGAACGAAAGGAAAAAAAATGATCCGTAGTCTGGTGAGGGATGATATAATGAATAGAATGAACTAAAATATTTCCCTCTATCACTTACATAGAAAAACTAGATAAGTTTAGAAAAACGACCCATGT